TTCAGCCATGTTTTTTTTGTAGATCTTGTCTTGCTAATCATTTTTCCGGATTAAATGTTCTCTCTATCTATTGTAGTTTTCAAAATAATAGACAAAAATGAAAAAAAAGTGTTAAAATTTGACATTTGAGGGCATATTTTTTTTAACATGTCTGCCTGCGCTAAAAGAACATAATTCTAAATGTGATTGTGCTCTTCAGATGTTGTTTGATAGCTTCAAATGTGGAGCTCAATACAAAAATAGGCAGACTTTGATGAGACATGTGAGGATCAATCATCTAAATAAAAAGCCGAAAGGCAAGTGAATAATTCGACCTAATTGAATCCGTATCCATGTGATCTTCAATTTAAATCATTAGCTAGATTGGTTACGCATGTATAAATCGTGTTCAGCCATTAAAAGGAAAAGAATGTCAACATTGAAAGCGAAACAAAAGTGAACCATTTCGTTGACTGCTTCGATCCACAAACAAATCATTCTTATACAGGTAAAAACGATGATTAACTTATTTTGTTCACCTATAACTTTAAATCAAACAGACTTTTTGCACGAGGTCGCTATCTATTTATAGTTATGTTTATGTTTATATCGGGTAATGTGACCGTCGGCAGTCTTCGGAGGTCATATCGATGGTTAATTATATGGCGTTAAGACTAAAATACACACGAGATGCTGATATATATTATCGAGTTCATGCGTTTTTAATTGTTTATTACAGACTTATTGTAATTTGGATATACGTTTTAGTATGTTATAAATCAAATATGAGAATTTGAGTCAAATCGGTTAACATGAATTTGACAGCTAATGCCCCTTTAACAGTGCAAGATATGAAAATATATTTTTCTTCTGTGGTTTTGGAATATTAAGAAATAAAAAACAACTGAAAATGAAATTTTTATAAAATTTATTTACTTTCGTATAGTGCTCCCTTTAAATCAGGTTTTGACTACATGCAGGCGACAGTCAATGTAAGCCTTGTGTGGGTTAAGTGTACATAAAACTAGATATTAAGAACGTGGATTTTATATTGAATTTTTAACGAAGTTACATATATTGAATAAAACTGATTATTATAGTATTAGGAATTAAGTTATTTACCAATTAATGTGACAAAAAAATAAAGAATTGCTCAGTTAAAAGCAAGATTAAATTTAGATAGCCTTGGTGGACCATTTGATTTTCAGTGGGAGGGAGATTTTGTGCTAATGGAATATTCATTTTACACCTGTACGGCTTATTTATTTAGCGCGAAAATTATTTCACTTTTTGTACACAACTGTTTCTTGCAAAGTCCTTCATTGTGTAGCACAAAATATCCACTTTCATCCTGTCTTGGACAAAAGATTTTTTTACAGTAAGTACAAGCCTAAAATATTCATTTCCAAAAATATGGTCACTTAGCTCTTCTTCCGATTGGCAGTAAAATCCTTGCCAAAATGGGGCGTTCTTTTGGCTGTGCGGGATGTACAAGTACGCAGCCACGTCCGGTCAGAATGGTGACGTTAAATCCGATGACTCGTGTAGAGAGAGCGCCACGCTCGCTGCACGTAAAGAACCATTGCAACAACTCTTTGAGGGGTCCGTAGGAGACCTTCTGCAAAGCAAAATTTCTGTCCCTATCTAAGATACTTTCATTTTTCAATGGCAGTTTAAATTTACCTGATCTTTATCCCGGACGACCTCTAGTATAGGACCACCAATTGTATTTATTGTTAATTTTTTCCCGTCCTGAACATGTGTGAAATTTTTGCCACTGGACGTTAAGCAACCAACAATCAATCAATCATTTCCAAAATCCTCTTTTCGCCTGTTCTTATGCTACAGTCTACATAATCGTGACATCTTTAAAACACTCAAAGTTCTCCAAATCTATGGAACGATCTTCTTCTACCGACAAGTTATCTTCGTGGGACAAACCATTTTATTTTTATTTCTTTAATAAAAGACAAACATTTTTTTTTCAATAGCATACAGGAACATTTTCAAACTCCGTATTGAATCCCCCTCCCTTAACTTTCAATGGAATCAGACGAATTTGCTCACTTCCCTCCTGAAATAATTGTGTTTTAACTTAAAAAAATGGAATTTAAACAATTTATTTACTCACGATCTTTGTAAACAAATAAGTAAATGAATATATAATCTTTATGTAAGTATACTTTATACTTAATTACTGTCGTACGATTTGATTTAATTTGTTAGAGTACTAAATCAATCTCAAGGGTGAGTTGGGTAAAGAAATATATGGTAATCCCTGGAATTGTCCGGTTCACGCATCAAACCCCTTTCTTACAAGCAGTGTATGAATAAATTAGCAGTCATGTCAAGTCGAAGGAGGGACGTTAAACCCAGAACCTCGCGTATTCAGGATAAATGTTACGGTCGCTGGATGTTAAATAACACTTGCGACAACTCTTTCATGGGAAATACATGGAATATTTTCCACTGAAAGTTAAGCAAACAAGACGTAATAAATCAAAACGTAAATCCGAATGATACGCAGGCCTGAGGTGTCTTCAGTCTTGTGTTTATAAAACGACATAAAAAAGGACTATAGGGACGCATATCTCGTGAGGGAGAGCGTAATGACCGAATAGACAGGAGTAATTAAGTATGCCTTTTACTTTAAAATAGATTAAAAACAAGAGACTTTTGAAATTCGATATTGTTTTGACGACATCTGCAACAACAAATACTCGATTATTTTTGACAGATGTATTTCTGTGTACTAGCGAGGAAGAAACCTGTCTTTCGCTGATACATCACAGTATATAGCTTCCTTGATGCCGTAAATATTAAACCGAGACATAATTCGTCAACACAACGTTCTATTTAAAAATGGAAGCAATTAGGACTATATTTTGACAAAAACAACTGTATCTTTTAATAGACGATACATTTTTAGTCACAGCAGATTTGATGTAGTTTTATAGTTTTTCGTTTGCCTCGTGCGCAATTTAATGATAAATGGTACCAATTAATGTATTCTTTTATAAAAAAATTATATATCATTTTCTTAATGTTGAAAAAGAAGTTTAAAATAATTGGCAATAAGAAACTACCGCACTAATTTGGCTCATTTTATTTTCAACAAGCTGATAATTAATCAAACAGTGACACTCAAGGAGACTAATTAACAGTTATCTGTTGATGATAACGTTTCTACCCATAATTCCATAGTTGAATAAAATGCTCCGCTGGGCGCAGCTTGATACGACCGCAGAGGTCGAACCCTGAACAGTTGGGGCAAGTATGGACACAACATTCAAGCTTGATACAGCTCTGAATTTGGATTGTGATTAAATATTTGACACAGCATAGGTTTCTGACACAGAATGAATGTGGTCTAAGAACTTAATAATTTTTAATTTACCTATTATGGACCAATATCCAAAATCAAAATACATACACGGTTAGATTCAGTATATCAAAGAACCCCAAGAATTCAATTTTTGTTAAAATCAAACTAAGTTTAATTTTGGAACCTTTGGACCTTAATGTAGACCAATTTGAAAACGGGACCAAAAATTAAGAATCTAAATACACGGTTAGATTCAGCATATCAAAGAACCCCAATATTTCAATTTTTTATGAAATCAAACCATATCATTATTATTTGCTTTTATATATAAATAAAAAATAACAAACTTAAAATGGAAAATTTTAAAGAGAAAAAAAGGAAAAAAAGGGAAAAAAAAATCCCCCCCCCCAATTTTTTGAACCCCCTTATGATTCATCACCCCAAACTCAATCCCAGCCTTCCCCATGTGGTATGGTACCTTGCAGTACAATTTCAGAGAGATCCATACACTTGAACACAAGTTATTGTCTGGAAACTGTAAAAATGCTTGTTTTTTTGCCCTTTTTTTGCCCTCAATTCCTAAACGTCTAAGGCAATTACCCCCAAACTCAAACCCAGCTTTCCCTTTGTGATATGGAACCTTGTAGTACAATTTCATAACGATCCATACACTTACACACAAGTTATTGTCCTGAAACTAGAAAAATGCTTGTTTTTTTACCCCTTTTTGGCCTCTAATTCCTAAAATTTTAAGGCAATTACCCCATACTCAATCCCAGCCTTCCCTTTGTGGTATGGTACCTTACAGTACAATTTCAAAGAGATCCATACACTTGAACACAAGTTATTGTCTGGAAACTAGAAAAATGCTTATTTTTGGCCCCTTTAGTCCTAAACCTCTTGGGCAATTACCCCCAAACTCAATTCCAGCTTTCCCTTTGTGTTATGGAACCCTGTAGTACAATTTCAGAAAGATCCATACACTTACACACAAGTTATTGTCATGAAACTAGAAAAATGCTTGTTTTTTGCCCTTTTTTGTCCCCTAATTCCGAAAATTTTGAGGCAATTACCCCCAAAATCAATCCCAGCATTCCCTTTGTGATATAGAACCTTGTGGTACAATGTTAGAGAGATCCATACACTAACACACAAGTTATTGTCTGGAAGTTACAAAAATGCCTATTTTTGGCCCCTTTTTCCTTAATTGTTGGTACCATAACCCCCAAAATCAATCCCCACTTTCCTTTTGTGGTATTGAACCTTATGGTAAAATTTCATAGAGATCCATTCACTTAAACTAAGTAATTGTGCGAAAACCAATGTGTCTTCGGACTTCCACTGATAACGGGGACAGCTTGCACACTTCCCCTAGTAATGGACTTCTTATGAAATAAACTGTAAACAGGTTTACAGTACGCGACGTTTAAAACACAGCCTAAGGCTTGAGAGAATTTAAAATGGGATATATTTAAAAATAGATTGAAGGATACTTATTTAGATTCATGAATAAGCATGTGCAAAAAAATAAAACCAAGATCAAAAGCACTGCGATAGATACGTGTCAATTTATAAACCATAATCAACAACATTTTATTGGTTCCCAGTATGAGCTAAAAATAAATATCAATTTCATTAGTTGATGATTTAAGTCAATCTGTACATGTGCGAAGCGACATTAGATGTGTATGTGAGTATTATTACGTTTATGTATATTTACATTTCTAATGATTGTGTGTTTTGTAAATTTTTATCAAAGGAAGAATTTTAATTATCAAAATATGTATGAAATAACAGTAAGTATATAATTGTTCATGAGTTAAATTCATTATTTTTGTTACATTATAAACGATAATTTACACCAAGTCTCTTTTATTAGCCGTGTAAAAATTTCAAACAAGGATATCTTACCGACAGGAAATAAACAACCTTTTTTAATAATAAAACTACAATCCTACTATATCTTAATATTCTGGTGACAATTTTATATCACACACGATGGATCATAGGTAGATAAACTATAAATATAATTTTATTTGAATTGGTATACCTATACATTGTGTAAACAGGCGGAGCGGGAACAATGGAACAGTAATTCTTGTTATGATAACAGTGAGCAAATAAATAGTTTGTTTACGTCGGTAACCATACTGATAAAAAGTTATTTAGAAACTACTATCGTACATTTAAGAAATTATCTATCTATTACACAGTTATGGTGTAATAGAGTTGTGTGTTTGTGTGTTCTATATTCTGTACAGGTATGATCCTCCGTTATATATCAGAGCACTCCCACTTGGGATCACAGGCACTTGTCTCAGAACAAATTTCCTATATACATATTAAGGTATATAGGAAATTTTTTTCTGAGACAAGTGCCTGTGCTTGGGATAGAGGTTTTAACACTTTAACAAATATTGACAAGGATATTTACATAGTGTGAAGGGGTGCTAAAATTTAATTGTTTTATATACAGACGAGAACTGTGAATTTTAAAACAATTATTTATAGTAATGTGCTATTTATAAAATAAGTTCCGATCAATTCACACCACGTGATCTTGTATTGGCTATTAAATTTAATCAATTATACCGTGAGTTATAATAATAAGATATATAGATTTAGTTATCAAAAGAGTTTCATTCTTTAAAGATATAATAAGACGAAAATGTAAGACTAGCTGTACTGGACAGTGGTCTCTTTTTCCTCCTTAGTCATCCTTTAAATTTAGGGGCCAACGAAATTGTGACAGAGTTAAAAAAATAACTGTAAATAAAGTTTGAAGAATAGGGCCATCAGCGTCTTTCTGCTACATGATGTTAACTCTGGTGTCCTAGAAGGTTTAAAAGTTCCTGTTGCACTTTTACCTACGGTCCTTTGCTCCAGTAACAAATACGGTGATAAGTCGCATCTATGACTTTACTATTAATAAGACTTGGTGCAATGACTTCATTGGAAGCAGCAACCCTCTATCAAGGAAGAGCATATGGTACCAGCTTGGAGATATATACTTAGCAGGTGATGCTGTAATGCTGATAAATATACAATTCAAAATTTGCGAGGGAGAAATCAAAGTCAAAGAGCAACTCAGCTACGAAGTTCATCTAGATAAGGTCAATTGTCGAGCAATAAATGTTCCAAGCGGTGCTTTTTTACAAACTATGATGGTTTCTTCCAAAAATAAGATAAATGTATTAACTTTGTCCGTTTGAAATAAAACTAAGTTAGACCAATTCTGTCAATATGTCTTTCACTTCATAATTAAGAATTCTTGTGTAAAGGGTGGAAAAGTTCAACGTTTTGATTAAGTTGCATAGGGAGAGGGACTAACTCTTGTAAGTACTATTACAGATTTTTGGATTCTTTTAGTATCCATATCTGATTCACACTGTCTCTAGAGTAGGTAGTTTCATTGAAGTTTACTATGAAGCTCGGTTGTGATTGCTAATATCAAAGATGTTAGTAATTTGGAAAAGTTTCGTTGAGCATATATTTATGCAGCAGTAGTTAACTTATGTATAAATCTCACAAATAAATTAAAAAGATATAAATCAAAGTAACAAACACAAACTATTGGAATCAGCATCAACTCCAAAAGGAGCGAGACCAGGTGCGTCGACAGAGAAAGCCGTCTCCTGATATGCATGTGTCAGTCGCCAGGTGAATTAAGACTCAAGCAACTTGTCACAATTGGTAATAGGACACAATGGGTAAAATTACAGATCAGACGACTATTCTGGTATCTGAAGGTCTTCGTTTATTTTGCTCAGTATGTAGTGTTTTTTTTACTTGTTTGTCTTTTCGTTGTCATCTTTCTTTTTTGCCAGTGCGTTGTTAGTTTATTTTCGACGTTTGAGTTTTTATACGCCCGTTTACGGAACGTATTATGGTATACCGTTGTCCGTCTGTCCGTCCGTCGTCAACATGTCTGACATTAACTCAAAAACGCTTTAACTAATTTGCATAAAACTTTGATGAATTGTTCATATTTATTGATGTGAGCTCCCTTTTGTTTTTTATAAAATTTAGATTTTACGTTTCTGAGTTATGGGGTTTTATTCATTAAAAAAAGGGGGATTTTCCAGTTTTCGGACAATAACTCAAAAATGCTTTCACCAATTTGCAAGAAAATTTGGTCAATTGTTTATATCTATTGCCATGAGCTCCCTTTTGATTTTTATAAATTTTCCGAGTTATGGAGTTTTATTCACAACAACTCAAAAATGCTTTCAGCAGTTCTCATGAAACTTTGGAGAATTGTTTATATCTATTGATGTAAGCTCCTTTTCAATTTTTATAAATTTTAGATTTTACACTCCCGAGTTTTGGGATTTTATTCATAAAAAAGGGGTGATTTTCTAGTTTTCGGACAATACCTTTAAAATGCTTTGAGCAGATTTCATTAAACTTTGGTGACTGGTTTATATCAATTAAGATAACCACCCTTTAGTTTTTCACAAATTTTTGATATTACATTGAGAAGTTATTGAAATTTATTCGTAAAAAATTCGACGGGCGTATCATGCTCTCATGGCGCAGCTGTTTATTAATCTCTCCTTGGTCTCTTCCGCCTTTTATTTTCCAAGACCGCAAAAAACATCGTTTGTGAGTTGAGGCATAATGCAGACACAACAACATAATTGTAACAATACTGATGTCATCGAGTACCCAAACTCTCTGAATTGAATTAAAACTCAAACTTCATTAAATCTCTTGTTAGAAAAAGAGGTATCTCCACGCTACTGTACTGATTGAGTTTTATCTATTGGGAAGTAATATTTGTTCTTGAAAAAAATATTGAATCATACATATACAATTGGTACCGTTAATGTTATTACGTATTTCAGAACATTAACGGTACTAATTTTACTGTTCAAGACTAAAAAGGACCTAAGGGAAATCCGAATCCGGACAAGAGATCAGAGCTATGCATGAGGGAGATACATTTCTTAATTTAAAATGAGTATGAAATCTTATAACAGCAAATTTAAATCGAAAAAAATTGCGTATTTTCGGAACCGCAGTAATTGGTACTAAAGAGTATAGTAATGTAAATCGCTTATTAAGCATGTTATGAATATAGGGAATAATGACAGGATTTATGATATTATGACAGGTATTTACCGATGTTGAAATCTCATGAATCGATTAAAATGCCTTCAATTCTTACATTTCCTGTTTTACTGTATTGGACTGAAAAAAATTATGGAAAATAGAGGTAAATAGTTATCAAAGGTACCAGGCTTATAATTTTGATACGCCAGACGCCCGTTTCGTCTACATAAGACTCATCAGTGACGCTCCGATCAAAAAAGTTAAAAAGCCAAACAAGTATAAAGTTGAAGAGCATTGAGGATCCAAAATTCCCCAAAAAGTTGTGCCAAATACGGCTAAGGTAATCTATGCCTGGGATGAGAAAATCCTTAGTATTTCGAATAATTTTACTTTTGCAAACAGTTAATTTATATAAAATGATCATATAACTGATATTCATGTCAACACCGAAGTGCTGACTACTGGGCTGGTGATACCCTCGGGACGTCAAATTGGAAACTTATTTTGATCTTTTTATTTTAACATCATTTTATAGCACACACTTTTGTTATGCAGACTCTCATGTTATTATAACACAATAATTTCTGCTTTTTTAAATCGAAACTTTTAAACAATTGAACATTTTTTCAGGAGACATGGCTTGTCGGCGTTTTTTAACTTTCCAGCCTATTGATGAACCATCATGGCGAAAACGTGACACAAAATATGATTGTGTACCTACGGTCAAAGAAATGATAAAAGATATTGTCAATTATCATACTATATGGTTGAGGAAACAAAGAAATTCAGGGAAGAACAGCTTTGTAGAAGCAAAACGTGAAATAGTAATGGAATTCCTTTTTCAAGTTCAACAAGGTGAAGATATAGGACTGAATGACCAAGGTACATTTGAACAGGTTTTTAATGCCGAAATGAAATACTTTGAAAAAACTGGACAAAAACGGGAATGCTCGGCGTCTGAAAAGGATTCATTACGAAAGAAAATCCGTCATGAGTCACCAAGTAATGAACAAAGGTGCGATCAAGACAGCTTACCAAACTCTATGGATGTTGAAGATTATATTTTTGAAAATTCGATAGATAATGGCAACGACGAAGAAAATAAAATAACCGAAACCAAAAATTTACTGCGGGGCTACTGGCATTTAAAACATGAATTGAAAAAGTTATCAGATGAAGAACAAACAAATTATGTTGGTGAAATAGATGTCGAGACGTGCATACAGGATTGTCATGAAGTTCTGATGCATAATTTGCTCGATAAAGCCAAAACTCAGCCTGGAAAATTCAGTGTTCTACCGAGATCAGCATTTTTTGATGGAGAAGATTTCTTTTATCCGTCGTTTGCAACTGACGAAATTGCGTTTCAAGCAGTTGATACAATTGTTTTGGAGTACAACAAGATGGTGAGGGAAATATCAAAAATAAAAAATGAACATGAGAAATTGGAACTTTCACTTAAGTGTGCTTCTGTTTTGCTTTTTGGGTTTTTAACACTTCATCCATTCTCAGACGGTAATGGTCGACTTGCTCGATTATTATGCAGTCATTGCTTAAAAGTATTTTGTCCTTTCCCAACTTCGATTTATAACGTGTTTTCTTATTCCAATAGAGACGATTATTTGAGGGCACTTGTTAACGCTAGAAAGCATTTAAAAATTGACTCTGATCAAATACAACATGCTGAAGATGCTATCAACGAAGCTGAGTTAATTTTAGAACAGAAACCAAATGAACTTTGTTCTCTGGTAATAGAAAGTAACTGGTTTACATGGCGACAGTTTCTGCATAGAATAGGAGAGGATATTCAACTTTTCGATTTTGAAAAGAAGACTCATGAAATTAGTGAAACATAATATTTTTTTGACTTAAGGTGTATCAATTAATCGCATCAATGGCGATGTTCCTTATTGAAAATATCCAAAAGACTCGTGGTTATGTGCATTAATATTCCAAAATCATACTATTGAATAATATCATAAGAAAAAGTTTCATAACGTTTCTATTTTCAATATATTTAAAGATTTTATATCTTTATTTTTTATGTGCACATACCATAGTAATGAAACACTATGAATCAAAGGAGATATGGGGTAAACGTCAGAAGACAACAACCTAACCAACAACACCTAGAGGGCAATATACAGTTTTCAACAATACGTACGAGTTTTTACAATATGATAAGCTCAAAATCGTCCAGTGTAAAAAAGCGTGAACACATTTTGTAGAAACAATCAGAGATCTAACATTTATAACAAATTTTCAAAACAAATGACACAACACAGTCATTGTTGATGTTCCTGACTTGGGACAGGCACAGATTAGTATGTATCGAGGTTTACTAGTTTATTTTAGATGTGAATCCTACATCTTTCGATCAGTTGACTAACAGTAGGTATATGAATGAGATACAAGGAACATTCAAAAGTAAAAAGAGGAAACATTAAAAAATAAGTATAACAAAAAGTACCGAACTCCAAGGTAAATAAAAAAAAGGGAAGTCCACAAAACTGACAGAATCAAACGTTAGACTTTATCAAGCAACGGAACGAATGGAAAACAACTGTCATATTCCCTACTTAGTACAGGCCTTTTCCGAAAAAATGGTGGATTAAACCTGGTTTTAGTTTTATAGCTAGATAAACGTCCAACTTGTATGACAGTTGTTTATAGTTCTGTTATATTGACAAACTTAAATAGACTTAATAGGTTAATGTGATGATAATTGAGATTCAGCAGCCAAAACTGTGTAAACATACACCACAAACATACAACACAGCTGACTAAACAATTCAAACAAACATATAAAAAAACGTCAACAAAACAGCTGTTGTAGTTGATAGTAAATTTTACAAAGACGCCAACAAAAGCTTTTGTAGTTGATAGTACATACAGTATATAGTTTACACTTTCTCGTTAAAGTACAAGTTAAGTAAAATATAAATACAAGGATAAACAAAATGAAAATAGCACTGTATAAACCTCCTGCAAATCGCACCTCTAGACCACCTGCACCAGGAACACCAGGAACGCCACAAAAACCCGATAGTTGAATGCATAAATACCGAGTCACGTTAAGAGCCATTCGAAAAAAAAAAAATCATAATAGCACAAAGACATGTAAAGGGAAAACTGTAAAATCAATAAAAAGGTAACACAACTTAAGAACCTATAATCTGTGAATAGACATAAAATATTTATCTATTACGATCTGATGAACATTTTTGAGAAAAAGGACGAGACGTTCTTTGACAAAACCTTGGCTCATTAACTTTTTGCTCAGACTTCGATGACGTTTTACAAAGTCAGCTACATGCTCTTGAATATCGTATGAGTTGAGAAATGTATACTCCATACGAGGGTAAAGTTGGTAGATTACTGCTAAGGTGAGGAAAATTCATAATTTAATAAAAATTGAAATCGTCTCGTTTGACATAGAATCTTGTCCTGAGATGACAGCTATAGTCAAATTCAAGGTATATGTCTAGAAATGAGGCGGATGAAGCTGTTTCTGTGGTTTCTTTAATCTCTAGCACAGGAGGTTATATTAATTCGACCAAATCAATAAAGTTCGGATTGTTAATGAAAAGAACATCACCAATATCGCTGTATGTGAAATTAAATGATCTAGCTTCTTTGGTCTTCATTTAACGGTGTTAATATATCCCAACTCGTTCGCTATGCACGTGTCTGTAGTGATGTTATAGATTTCAATGAACGTCATCTATGTGTCAATAGTAAATTATTAAGTCAGAGATGTCGTTAGCATAAATTAATTAAAATATTTATATAATTCTTTCATAGATACACATATTTGGTTTGGAAGTTTGGCTGTACAAAACTAAATATTGCTTTACAGCTACATTGTATGCACATTAACGGTCCTACATTCTGTCGATACTTTTACTTCGGCATTGCACAATATCAATGTTTTGCTCTGATTGGTTATGACGTCTTTACAGTAAATCCATTGGATGTGTACTGATTGATATTTAAGTCTCGGATACACGATTCGTATTGGCTTTTGTCTTGCTTTCATTGGCTGCTGGTACTCTAATATCGGTACTTTTGTGTTGTAAGAATTTTTGTCAGTGTTTTTTTTTGTGTGTTTTGTGTCGATCTGTTGAGTAAAGGCTTTTTCAACAAATTTTTTAGTTTGTACATATGTTGTGCTGTAACACCACTGTCCCAGGTTAGAAGAGTTGGGCGCCCGCAAACTAGTTTTACCCTACCACATTCTGTAAATGCCTGTAACAAGCCAGGACCATATAACTAAGATGTTGTCGTTTGTTCTGATCTGTAACAAGCATCTTTTATGTGTTACTGTAGTATAAATAAGGACGCTGTTTTTCTTATCGTATGATTTTATGGGTTTGCCGTGCTGTGACCTGTAATTTTCAACCTTTGTATTATCTTTTTATCTATTGTTTGCATTTTATAGACAAATATACCAGTAGATACAATATTCCAGACCTTGTGTTTCCTATCCTGATTTTGATTATGAGCTGTTACTTACTAGGAAGATATTTCACTATCATACCTAGGGTGATAAGCAGTAGACAACACTTGACTCCAAATCTATTAGAGCTAAGTATGGATGTATTATGTCAATATAATACTTTCATGAGCTGCGTTACGTTACTAGTAAAATTCGCTTTAAATATACATAAAAAGGTTACCACAAACATTTACTTCTTTTCACTTGAGTCCTTTAATAAAAATTCCTCAGGATAATGTATTTTTTAGTTTACATGTTCCTAACAGAGTATCCCATGAGGCGTTGTTTACCTGCATGCATATGATTTATTGATAACAATTAAATATTCAAATAATTTTATAAAGAAGTGGGGAAAATTCCCCCTGAATTCGTTTTACACCACGGACATTTTCAGAAAGTCTTTTAATCTTTAAAATTTACACTATATTAACTTGATTTGTGATTGGTTGATAAAGTGTTAATTGTTTAACGTCCAGTGGCAAATATTCCTTGCATATTCAGGGCGGGAACAAAATAATAATTAATACAAAGTTAGGTCGACCGTTGTGAATGACAGGGAATGTAGACCGTCACTGAAAATTAGGTTATGTTTGATAGGTTGCGAGGATCCATTGACTGACAGTGATCATGACACTCGCCTTTCACGAAGAATCGGATTAAACGCCCTCATTACAACCGGACGTGTTTGCGTTTTATACATCCCGCACTTACAAACAGACGCCCACTTAAGGAAGGGTTTTATTGCCGATCGGGACGAGTGCATAAAGACCACACTTCTATACCCATTTACAATCTCACATACATGTATGAAGCACAAAAGAGTTGACTTGGGCCTAAGTCAACTCTTTTGTGCTTCATATATGTATGTGAGATTGTTGACTTGGGCACAAGTCAACTCTTTTGTGCTTCATATATGTATGTGATGGATATAGAAGTGTGGTCTTTAAGGACTCGTCCCGATCGGCAATAAAACCCTTGACTAAGTGGGTGTCTGTTTGTAAGTGCGGGATGTATAAATACGCAAACATGTCCAGTGGCAAATATTTCATTTATATTCATGTTCCGTCAAGTGGTTTGACCGGACTATGGATGGGAACTTTAGACTGTCACTAGACAAAGAGAATATGTAGAGAAAGGAAATGCATTTTACCGCGCAACACGCCATCTGCGGACTCTGCAAAGAGTTTTTTGTTGCAAGTTTTGTTTTAACGTGTAGGGTAGTGGAAGTGCAACGAAACGTGTATTCCTTTTACGGACCCACTAGAACTGGCCGTATTTTTAGTTTAAAATCAAGGAGTTTTATATATTTGTTGCTATATACCAACTACGCATTGATTTATTTATGATAAAAACGTGACGATGAATCGTACAATGTGTTGTTCCGATAGTTCACAAATTATATGTTTAATCGGAGTAGCCTCCCGTTCGACTGATAATACTTCCATTGTATTATATAGTAATGTCTAATGGAATTGATGATAAAAGCAAATCGGACAGCATTGATGGATTAAAATACGCAAAAGAGGTTGTTGCACAAAGGGTTAACCTGCCACATAGATTTGAAAATATCTTTAAAGACGTAAGTATTTATTTTTACCTCTATGTCCTATATTTTAACCTTCGTAAATAAATGTGTATTGAAATCCAGACGGTCACTATAAATAAACACGCAAAACTTGGCGTTTGTACATTTCGTAAAATACTGCAGGAAGGTTTTGTATAAACTTGCCTGTTTTGAGGTTTAGCTTGTTTATGCATGTTATGCCTATAACATCATAGTCAGACAGATGTAGATATACCTATGAATAAAAAATAGAAATTTTCCATATAGGCCTATAGTATAATAATCATCCTCATAATAAACCAATAGGTAACAGACTCGATGAAATCATTGTCTTGATCCCATGTGCAATGTATATTAGATACAAAGGAGATTCAAATAAATTGGAGAGAAAGGCGTTCCAATATATTCCCGACACAGTACATGTTCAAGGGCATTAACTCCTACTCATTTAGGTGTCACACACTGTTTACTTTTGATGTAATTTTCATAAATATCCTGCAGAAAAATGTAGGCGTGATTTTGACCGATAAAAAGGTCACTTAATTTATGATACTTTTACATCCACAATATATTTCCCTCATGCAAAGTCCGGATTGGCTATAATTCAATTCAGTATTTTTATTTTTATTCATTAGAAAGAGCACAACATGGGCGTGATCCAAATACTGCTACAGATTACATTGATCAATTACATCAAATGCAAATAAAAAAGTCTTACATATGATATATAAATAACAAATGTTTCATTATTTTGACTGATAGATTTACCATGTTTACCAGTTATATACGTTCTCTCATTGTACATTTATTCATAATTTTTATAAATATAATATTGAACACTATATATGTATTTATATATATGCATGTATAGGTTTTTTTACTTGATTCAATTCCTGGATGCTAGTTCGTATTTGGAAATACGGATAACAAAATGAAACTCAGAAATGGAAAAATAGTTAATACCAAACTCATTCAAAGGGTATCTACACGTCTCAATCTTCAAAATAGTGTGACGTCCATTTTCGTTGAACTAGTATACATTTTTTGTTTAGGGGCCAGCTGAAACAGCATAGTGGTCTCTTTTACTCAAATTGATTTTAATTCTTTTTCGAAATTTTCATTCATATTATTTGTATCTATTTCTTTGATGTTAAATTTATACCTAAATTTGGTATTTTTGTACATTTGTTCAAGAAATGTATCTCATTTTCAACATGTCCTGTGCAAAATTTACAGAACCTCTTATTAGAGTGTATCATTGGTTTTGCATATTTACCAGTTTCTATGGCTAATGCGTATGCAATTATTCTTAATTTTGTTTCTAAGATGTTTGGGTTAGATTAAAATTAAAAAATTCTTGTTGCTTAAATTCAGTATATATCTTATTAAAACCCCCAAAGATGACTGGGTAATAGAAATATGGTCAAATAGGTCTTTTCCGACCGGCAGTAAAACCCTTGCCAAAGTGGGGCGTCAGTTTGGTTCCAGCGGGATGTACAAGTACGCAGCCACGTCTGGTCAAAATGGGGACGTTTGACTATACTTTTTGTCCTATTTGGTTTTATCAGCTCTTCAATTTTTGGATTTTCAAATATTAGACATTACTTGTCGAACCTGTGCATTTTTTTGTAGATAGAGATTATATCAGGAGGGAATGGAAATATTGTATGTAGATATACTATTCCGAAAAACTTGTCCAATACTCACGGTTCATTGCATGGTGGAATTATTGCCAGCTTGGTAGACGCTGTATCAACTTGGGGACTATCAACTGCCACAAAACATCACAGACATATAAGTGTTGATCTTAGTGTTAGGTAAATTAACATTTTCCATCGTGTTTATAGTTGTTTATGATTTTCTGAACATATATGACTGTGAACTATACAAATAGATAAAACTTATTGATATTGTTTTTTGAGAAAGCTGGACCTTGATTGCTAAAGATGTAAGAGTTTAATTTATTTTGAACTTATTAGTTGCTGGTCATCTAGTATCTATTTTCTTCATCATGATGAACAGGTTCAACAATTAATTGAAACGGTCTTAACAGTGAAATGATGGTTAACGAGGACGACTATCAGTACACGAGGGGCTTGGAGAAAAGAGAATAATTGACAAAAAAAATTGAAGAATAGAGATGAGACTGAATTGGGTGCTAAAATTTAAAGAATAGAGAATAATTGGGTGCTAAAATATCAAGAATAGAGAATAATTGGGTGCTAAAATATAAAGAATAGGGAACAAGGAGCAAAAATATAAAGAATAGAGAATAATGGGGGAAAAAACCATAAATTTTAAAGAATACAGAAATGAAGGAGCACCCCATCCAGAACCTCATACATGAGTTGAGCAATTTGTCCTTCGACACTCTAAATACGGACGCCACGTGACCGTCGTTTAAGTTTTTACAGTATTTTCTTGAAGTATGATTCCATTCCCATATCTGCAATGTAGTTTTCAATTTTCACGATGCTCCTGTTTTTAAAACAAATGCCCAGATAATATGAATTGAAAAGTTATCCTTTATGTAATTTTGAAAAAAAAAGTATTGACGGATCCTCCAAAAAACTACGAATGAATTTTATTGATGTATTTTTACTATTGATAGTTATATGAGAAAAGCGGAGCTTGGAGAGACGATAACTATTGAAGGCAAGACAGTAAAACTTGGTGGCAGGGTTGCATTTCTAACAGCAACATTGTTAGATAAAAATCAAAAGATTATTGCAACAGGAAAACATACAAAACTGATTTTAGGTAAGATGTAACATTATAACAGAATATAGTTAATAAAATCCAATGGCGTTACTTTGAATACATATGCAAAAATAATGATACTAAATGGAAATTTAGGTCAAGGTCACGTCGAATTTAACAATCACTTATAGCGTTATAGATCAAAGATCATTCTTTAAATATTCTCAATGAATAAATTGTCATACATCATTCAATATATATGATATATAATGTATATTATACATCAAAGTAATGGAAGCCTAAAGGAGTCACGTTTAAGCGTTTAGTATAAACGTAAAGTTTCAAGGTTCAATTGAAGGGCAAAAAAAATATCTGTACATTGTCAGAAATATATAATTTATTTGTACTCATACAAAACTGGCAAACCTCTTTTTTATTCCTATTTCTAAAACTCGTACAAATAAATTTTGTATTTTCCAACAATAACATATATTTTATATTTTATTTTTTATTTCATTTATGTACATCTAGCTTTTACAGGCCTCTAAAACGCACGTGTTTGAATTACTATAACGTGAGGGTACCCAAATTGCACCTATTTTGACAGGTTTTTCACCATCGTTTATGACAAAATTAAGTTTCCATTCTGTGTTTATTTTGTAGATGTATCATAATTTACTGTACTAGAAGATGCCCGAGAAATCGCGGTACGATTTGGCAAGTGTTGAAACAAAGAGTTTTTAAACTTCGCGGGCAGTACGTCGACTGAGCATGCGCGAAAGCGTATAAGACACGGATAGATAACGGTCTCCGAATTTGAATATTTTCTCAAAAATTGGCGTTTTCTGTGGAAAAAAGATTGCTTCAAGAACAAATTTAGGAAGTACAAAACACAACATTTATACATCATATCACAAATATTTCCGATTTTTTATGGTTTCAGAGGAGTTGCGGCTCAATGAAATCGGTCTCTTCATTTAGTAATATAGATAGTTCCACCAATTTTATTTTGAATTCATATTGAATCATAGCAAAATGGGTTTGAACCGACCTCCAAACGATCCATGATTCTGTAATGAGGAGTGGAGTACCCAAATTGCATACATGCTTAAATTCACATCCGTAAAAATCGACTAACTGATGTTTTCTTTTATTTCTCCAAATATTTAGAACAATTTGACAATAGTCCATGCTTACTTTTCATTTTTTTTTAAATGGATGCCTGTGAAATATTTTAATTGCTCATTTTTTAAAGTTGACTTGTTGTATACGTCGAATCTGATTAACGAACAACCATTACTTCAAAGGAAAAAAATACCCATTTTTTTCTTCAACTTTCTATTTGTTAATTAGTAGATTGTCATGTACAAAATGTAATTTTAGTTGTTCTTTTCTTTCAGAAAACAAACTCTGATATCCCTTTATATTGTGTGCGGATGATTGGTCGTTATTTTGGCATCATACACTGTATCAACGACGATTGGTCGTTATTTTGGCATCCATCATACACTGTATCAACGATGGCAAGATATACTGACAACAAAATTAAATCTAAAAAGGATTCTAAGAATTGCGCATCATAGATTATGATATGAGCCAAAGTTTTGCATGGTTATCACCCTTTAATTGTAATCTATATTTAAATGGCAATGAATATGCATAAATTTTGTTTCTTGTGACAATAAAGACATAAATATTTATTGTTTTTAACCGCTTCCAACCTGTTTAACCCTTGGCTGTTAAATCAGATAATTAATTATAGATACGTAAAGAAGTTACATTCTTGGGAATTTATTAATGACAATCATTTAGTTAATTTGTCTCGACAGGAGGTCTTAAATGCATACTTCATAACATTGTTTTGTTAGTACCATGCGACTTTTTGTCTTGTACACATCTTTGTCGAATTACCAACTTTAGTGATATGTGGATTTTATAAAACTTGCCAACTATGTTACGTTTATCGAAAAAAAACTTTCATAAATCCTTATGAAAAACTAAATATTGAAAAAGTAAGTCATAAATGCAAACTTAAGCCTATGTAATAACCAAATTCAATTAAAAATACATATTTGCCTACCGGGTTATCATTCCAGCTGTAATTATCTATTACAACATTTAAATAGGTGCGACTTTACAATTGAGTTTTACATGTTTGTTTAATTGATTCGAAGTAGTTGATTTTTCAATGTATATTTTTCCAATAAATTTGTGTAGTCCATTTGTCGGTTTACATGTACGAATGATGAGCCTTTGTGTGATCAATGAAGGTAAAAGCAGCGGTTTCATATTGAAAAAAAAAACCATGCAAAAGATAACAGGAATCAACAAAATACAGGATAGTACAACAGACCACGTTAACCACTAAAGTACTGGTAGATGACGGAGGCGAAATTTTGATAACTCGACACATATGTGAGAATAAACCTTATCGCTATTTTCCCGCCATTACTGGACATCACAAAGGTTCCCGTAAAATTTTGACGTCACAATAGAAAATATCTGACGCCACAATGGAAAAGTGATTGTTGTAAGACGTCAAAAGTTCAAGCGGCGCAGATTCTCGGGTCAACCGGTGCAGATTTCCAAACAGCGATTAGGTGTATGTGAACCTGTGAAGAAAGATTTTTTTGGGTTCAAAGGTTTAGATCGACTTCTTTTAAATTTAAAAGCCTTTTTTTGCAGCTATAGATCATATAATCATTAACTGACACAAGCAATTAATGGCTTGTTAACATCAAAAAGTTACCTTCAAAAATGAGTGTTTGCAACATATTCTAAGTGCGGTCAACGTATGGCTAACTGATGTAATCATGATATAGTCAAACTGCATATACATGCTTATGAGAAAGATATTTAGGCCGGAAATCGTTTATTGAACACCAAAGTTTAATTCAAATTTGACAGAAATGTTCCTTCTATGTAACTCACCGAGTGTTGCTATTTTGGTTCCGGCTTGACTAACTAATATGCCCGCACACATGAGGAATTAGTTATAGATTGGAGTCAAACTAGATATTACATCATAGTTAAGGTGATGTTGTTTATAAAACCCGTAAATTTAGATATGATCCATATAAACTTAACGATCATCTTGCATAAAATTATTCTTTAAGGTTATCAATTTGACAATGTAGTAAGAATCTGATCTTTGAATATTGTCTTTATCAGTACTCACATTGAACTTTAAAATATGTATTGTTATACAGTTATGAACACCTATGTACCTATCTCCTTTCGATATTTATTTTTGGCATTGCACACAGTCATGTTATTTTTTCTCTATTTTTGACATCTTTGCATTTAATTCGTGTGATGTGTACTGATTGAAAATTCATTTAAGGAAAACATGGTATATTTGTTTGTTGAAATTGGCTTTGAATTGACTTTCAGTATCTGCTAGTACTCTTAGATCGGTACTTTGTGTATGTGTGCTTCGTGTCGATCTGATGAGTCAAGCCCTTTTCAACTGATTTTAAGCTAACCTTGCCCAAAGGGGAAAGAGAGCTAATCTCATAACTTGGTGTCCGTCGACATCAACTTTTACAATTTTTTTTACATCATCCATAGGGTATCTCAAAACGGTGTCAGATAATCCCATCTGCCAACCCATCATGGCAACGAAGACAATAATAGAACATATGAGAAAAAAAAAACTGACGAGGACAAACCTGTTCAGAATTTACAGATCTACAAACTGTTTATTTGGACAAAAATTATCAGCCGACCTCTAATAAGAGTTATTGCCCTAAAATGACGATTTTTATCATTTTTCTATATTTACCTACTGTCTTGGAAACTAAACTAGATACAGAGAAACTTTAAATGGCAAAAATTGTGAACAAAAAACAAGATCTGCAAAGTATCTAACATGGTCAGTTGACTCCTTATATGAGTGAGTATCCTTTAATGAAGATTTTTACCAATATATTTTGTTTGTGTCTATTATCTTGAATACTAAATAGATAGAAAGAAATTATGAAAAATGATAAACAAGATAAGATCTGCGAAAAAGTCAATATGGCCGAAATCAGGAATCGATTCCTTAGTGGAGTTATTGCCCCTAAATGGAGATTTTTACCATTTGTTTTCCGCTTTTGTCTTTTATCTTGAAAATTATAAGACAAGATCTGCCAAAAAATCATCATGACCGAAATCATCGATTGACCCATTAAAGAAGTTATTACCCGTAAATGACGATTTTTATTGTGTTTTTGCCAATTGTCTTAAAAAGTAAAATAGAGAGAAAGTTTACACAGCAAACATAATCAGCAAGAAAATGTCTACAAATAAGTCATGATCAGTCGATTACTTAGGGAAGTTGTTGGCCTAAATGGCGTTTTTCATCTATGCGTTTTGTAGTAGATAGAGGAAATATTTTAAAGGTAAATTTGATCAGCAAAACAAGATCTAGAAATTAGTCATCATAGCCGAAATTGTCAGTTGGCTTCTTTTAGGAGTTTCTGTCCTTTAATTGTGGGTTTCGTGGATTTTTGCATTTTTTACAAAGCTATAATTAATAAGGAAAACTGTTCTCTATCTACCATAGTAGTTTTAGATTCTTTGCCCTATTTCTAGATCTTGTCTTGTTGATCATCTTACTTTTTACAGTTTCTCTCCATCTTCTATACCTTGTATTTTTTTTATTTCAAAACGAAAAAACGAAAACATGGGCAAAATTGTCATTTACGATCAATTACACCAATAACATCATGCATAAGGAGTTGACAGACAATTATAGCTACTAGTAGATCTGTCCTTGCTGGTCATTTTGCTATTAACAGTTTTCTTTAATAATCATAGCTTTGCCAAAAATGCAAAAATCGACAAAACCCATCATTATATTCTATAATGTTTGCAAGATACCTTTGTTGAAGATGCACATTGATTAAGGTGAGCAACACAGGCACTTCAGATCCTCTAGTTACAGTTATGCTGTGATGTTTCACCACTCTTCCAGAAAAAAGCGAGATATAAGCTCTATCAAACATGTTTAACTCGGCCACATTCTTTATATGCCTGTTCCAAATTAAGAGCCAGTAATTCAGTAGTCATTGGTTGCCTGCCATATTTGTTGTTTGCTTAATGTTTTCTGTATAAATTACACCGTTGGTTTCTCCTTTTGAATTGTTTCACATTTTATCATGCCGGTGCCTTTTAAAATTTACTATAAGGTATGATTTTACTCAATGTTGATGGCTGTATGATTACCAATAGTTTACATCCTTGTACATTAATCTCCTGTGGATAATCATAATGATTCAGTAAAAATCATTCTACTTTTTAATATTAAGAACTGTTGATGAAATTATCGGTACGACGTATTTTCCACATCTTGAAGAATGTCATTCATTACAAAGAAACTAAGGTTTCAACTCCCTCAGGCAAAGTTGGCCTTAGAAGGATTTGGCTATAATTTTAGGTCATTTTTGATTATATAGCTCTGAAACTGTTTCGGATTTATACATCCTTGGCTTTCAAATATTCGGCTTTGAGCGTTCCTGATGACAGTAAATCCCAAAAAGCGCTTCGGACGCATTACATTTATAACGTGTTGTTTTCATTTTTTAATTAGTGTACAATTTTATGATATGAACTGAAACTTCTTTTTGATCAGAATATAATTGATTTACTAGTATTTCATTGTTGAACTGAACATATAAAATAGAAAAATAAGGCCAATGCGACAGGGCAAAGATGTAAACAATTACAGATCATCATCCGTTTACTCAGTTTTTCATATCGATTCTTATCAATAGTTTAACAGTTTAAGTTGCTGTCAATAGACAATAACTTCCAATACAATTCCCTCGATGAATAAAGAAAATCAGACAATTTGCAATTGCATGTATATTTCCAATTAACAGTCTTTCAAAATGTACGAATATGGTTACCGATGTAAACAAACTATCGACTTTGTTACCTTTATCATAAGAGGAGTTAATTTTATATTGTTCTTGCTTCACCAGTTTCCAATTTGTATGCTCATAAAATCGACTTCGATGATGAACAATTCATTATAGTATATTACTAACTAGTCGATTAAAAGACAATATTAGAAAGAGTTTGGTATTAAAAAGTCTTGGGGGAAATTATACCACAAAATAACAAACGAAAACATTTTTAATGCCCTTTAACGTTATTGAACACCACCTAAAAGCTCAGGCTTCAGATTTGTTTAATTGTCGTATGACATTAAATGTGCACATTTATCGATCTTTTATTTGTTCATGATTCAAAAAGAAATTCTTCATCAACGAATATTTAGAATTAATTCACGAACCCTGACTCAATTTTATGGAAAAGTTTGTTATAGTTTTGTTATACTTGAATCAAAGGATGAGCTATCAACGGTGTATTTCGATTTACTGTTAGATATCTGGAGCAATGCAACAATTTAAGACTAGGATCAATTATATCTATTTTGAAGTCGTCATGTTTGCTGGTCACAGGCATCACGGTTTGTAACAAAACTCTCTAGGTATGATTCTGACCAAGTTTTGTTTCCAACTGGTCCAATGGTCCCAGAGAAGTCTTATAAAGATCACTTCGAACCCATGTTCTTTAGATCGGGTTAGCAAAACAAAGAGTTGCGGAAATTCTCCAAATTTAAAAGCTTGTTTTCGTACTTTGTTTGAATCGATATGGTTTGACGATCTTATTTATATTATTCAAACTATTTTGACATGGTTTGCCAATAAAGTATATATATTCTGTATATAGAATGGATTCAAGATCCGCGTTTTTTTGTGTCTGGCCATTTTCATTGCGAGGAGTTATTGGTGTAACATCTGCTAAATACATTACTGCCCGAGGCGACCTTTTTATCCTCATTTCAGAACGAACAACCATTTTTTTTTACTTAGAATTTCATATTGATTCCTACCCATAGTTCAAATATTTAACGGTGAAGTCAATATATCGTCGAATTATGTCTCAATCTTTGATCGTTGATCACCAAAATGCATTAAATGGTAATGGATAATGATAATATACAGCAACTAAAACAATAAATACCAAAAATCTGAACCTGGATCTTTCCGTTCAAAATTTCAAATCCATGTGCCGAACTATTACAAATATAAGCTTTTATTGCAACTACACAGTGTATATATTCGATCATCTTTTTTCATTTTGCTTTCTTGGTGCATGCAATTAGCGTAGGACCCCCAGCCCCTTTAAAAAATAAAGAAATAAAGTAAAATATGCAAAAAATGGTTTTATTTAATGAAGATTTTATGACAAAATATGGAATAACAATTGAGCTAACATAGAATTATAGTTATTTTTCACTTGAGAACCTCTGGACACAATAAAATCATTCGGAAGTATACCGACTGTATGTCATAGTCTTGACTAGTACATACGGTTTACCCATTGGGGAAAACATTCTACATCATAGGTACATTTTGTATGACAGGTGAAAGAAAGGGACATAGACGCTCACAGGAAACCTGATCTTAAACAAGACAATTTTGGGTTAATTTCAGGTTTTGGTGTTAACTAAAAGCATTGTTCAACAAATTAACACATTGTATTGACGATGGTTTTTTCTCTCAAAAACAAATATTAAATTCACGTAAAACAGTATCCGAACATGACTGTTATTTTTATTGTAAACATAAAACTTAATTAGTTAAGAAAAGGGTTCGTTTCTACCTTAAAACAGATAGGCAGTAGCAAATATTACACGTTTACGTGGCATCATTTAAACTGATATGATGCACACTAATTAAGTTAAGATCTTACTGTTTGAGAAAAGTTCACAGTTCCTTAAATACCAGAAAAAATGATATTGAAGGCGAAAATGAAGTAGAATGTTTTACCCTGCGAACCCCTCACAAAGATCTGTTGTTGCCTGTGTTCTGTTACGTTTAGAGTTTGATACTCAGATATACTTTGGATTTAATACAATTTTTTAGAAATGTAAACATTGACACAATAATTGTCTTTTGAATATAAGCAGCACAACATGTCGACACGAAATGCGTCGATGATATAAATCATTGAGTAGAACAACCTAATTGAAATTAGGTGTTTAAATTGCTCCCCCTTTTCTGATATGTGGCGTATGAATCTTTACGCACGACATATCAGAAATTTAGGATCAATTAAAGATCTAACTTTAATTAGATTAAGGGCAAAAGAAATTTCAAAGAAAAACGAATGAACTTTTACTAAATAAATGACAATTACTTATTAATTGTAAGTAACATGGTATATTGAAATTCTTGTTATTGAAAATCTATAATAATGGTACACATCGACTTGCAGATCCAAAGTTACACCCTGCAAGCCAGTCTTTTATGGCTTCTTGTCGAGATCGCTCTTCGGAGCTAGGACATATGAAAGAAGGAAGTCCATTTGGAATGTATTGCTCTACTTCCTCTAGCACCAAACATTGTTCTTTTTTCACGGGTTCTGGTAAAGTTTGAACATTGTCTATGTCTGGACTTTCACCTTGGTTTTTGAAGCTAACGTTTGATTTTGCAGGACTTTTACACGTAGGACTTCCAGGTTTAGAAGTTTGTGAAATATTTTCATCGTCGTTAAGTATTTCCTTTTCACTTGTAATTGTAGCATCGTCTACCCAGCACTTTGGACCCTTTAAAGGTTTACGAACCGGAGGAGTTTCAATTACTTTAACTTCAGGTTGAGGTGGTGGAGTAACAGGAACTGATTCCTTATCTTTACCCTTTTTACTTTTGGGTGATCTAAAAAAAAATGATAATATGAGTATGATAAATCATTACTATCGAACTTTATTACGTCGTTATTGGCAAAATAGTTAAGATCAATGTTTATATCAGTGACGTTTGTGAAACATTAATACTTTGTACACTAACCAGTTCCTGTGAGAACTTTTATCATAAGATAATTGACTTTTAACAGCTGATAGAACTCCAAGTAATTCTAAAATCAATGTATGTCATGTTTGAAATATTAAAATCTTATTGATTGTGTACTAATAGTATGGAATTAAAAGTATTGTGTTTTCACGCCTTCGTTTAGCATGATGGTAAATTTGAGGAAATTACTTCGTCGCTGTCACTAACAATTATTATCACAAAGCAAATATGTATCCGTTCTTTCAGTTTCATAACTGGCTAATATGAGAGTTAAAACTAAAGTAATTGAAATTAAACATTGCTTACATTTAACCGACAAGGAAAGCAGACACTTATAAGCACACATTGTATATTGGAATAGAGAGAATGTATGAGTGATGTGCATGCAAAAGATAATAAAAAAAAATACATTAGAAAACAATAAGGTCTTTCCTCACGTAGGGGAAATACCTTTATAATCCACTTAGTACTATGAAATAACAAATATATCTATGGAACGGCATTTTTTTCACAATTCAACATAACTCTGAAGCGTACTATTATTTGCTTCTAATAGCCTTCATAAATGCAGACAAAACAATACAAAAACTATTTGTCCTGATGAAATTTCTACACTGGGTTGCCAAGTTAAAAGATGAGCACAACACGTTCGTAAAAAAAGAAATACTATCTTCTAAAATTTAAAGCGTAAACAAATTGGTTTCTATTAATTTAGAAATTGTTTCGTTCATGCAATACTTATCGTGTCGTCATATAAAGTAGAGATGCTAGACAAAATAGACCAAAATTCTTTAAAAAATGAAATTCAGATTGTTTTCACGATAAAATTAAGCGTGCACATCTTTGTCAACAATGCAACAGCTCAATTAGAAATTGTGACATGATTATTGAATCAAGAGGGGTAACATTTAGAACCATGAAAAACATGTTAAGTACGTCAGTTATTATGCCAAATTTTTATCAATATTTGTATCATATTGAATTTCATGAAGTTGAATATCAATTCTATCGAATTATTTATATTTGAATAACAGAATAAATAAGGTATACACCGATGAGACAGTAATGAAAATTAAAGATATAATAACCAATGGATTGATGTCATTTTATTGAAAATTTGATAATATACGTACTACAAATAATAAGAAAAATCTCGAAATTTTATGACAACCTTGTTTACACCTCGAGCCCCCTTTTATTTCAAACAACTGATTTGAAATTTTATGACAATCTTGTTTACACCTCGAGCCCCTTTTTATTTCAAACAACTGATTCTAAATTTTATGACAATCTTGTTTACACCTCGAGCCCTGTTTTAATTCAAACAACTGATTTGTTAAGCAAGTCTTGTCAACATAATTTCTAATGCACATTGAGTTTCTTAATATTCTAATCAATAGGTTAATATTAAGCTTATTCTCTATACTTTCATCCAAATATCACACAAGGGCCTGATAAACAGTTATGTATTAAGAAATCTGTATGAATTTATGAAAAACGTACATATGAGTGACGTTCTCTAGCTTGCAAAACCTTAACTGGATCGGTCTTGAAGCTTCCGGTCATACGTACGATGACCAATACGGTTCCTACCATGCATCTTATGATGCTGACCCAATGACGTCAAGAAACAATAATATATGGGCCACACTATATTTTGCGACAAATTATCAATCAAACATGGTATTTCATAATTATGTTAATGGTATCTCGTATGAAATTCAATTTTCAAATTAGCAGATGTCTTGTGGTTAGCCTTGATCTTTTAAATGTGAGTTGATCCTCCTAGACGGCCAAGTACATAAAGCTTTCTTAACTAATTGGGTATTAAGAGTCTTAAAATTTCCAAAAGATCTGTTTGGGATACGACCGGGTTTTTTTAATTTTATTATTTAATTTGTTTTTAGCAACGTTAAATATGCTGAAATCTCATTTACAAACTGTATAATAGTATTTAAATCACTGCTTTGATAAATAAAAGGGACATGGTTTACCTTTTTAAGTTTGACATTTGCAGTTTCCCAAAAGTTAGTTACTAGAAAAAAAATGAAATAAACAGTACTTAAATTTGAAAGTGGTAAATTGAAGACAGATTTTTCAATTTAAACATTTAAGTCAAACAATCTTAACTAGGCATAAAATTGTTTAACTATCCCTAATTTCAAAAGAAACTTTATATTTATTATCCTAATTAGTAACAATTTAAACCCGTTAAAAAGATAAATGTCACTTTAACGTTCTTGTCACGCAGACACTATAACAGGCATGCAGACTAGTCGCTCGGATCTTAACTCAACCAATTTCACCCCCAAGAAAACTTAACAAGCATATTTTTAAAGAATAAAATCCAAAAATATGGATACAAACATGCTGGGTTTTTCTCATTGTTAAAGGCCGCTTGGAGACCTATAACTGCTTATATCCACGTCATTTGAACTCTGGCAAATAGTTGCCTCATTGGCAATCATATCACATCTCTGTATTTTTATATGGGATTTCATACTGAATTTTACGAAAGATTTAGAAGACGAACCCACTGAACTGACAACACACATTGATGTGCTTAAAGTAAATAACATTTATTTAAAAAGGAAAATAGCCTTGGACAAGATCAAGCTCTTTTTCAGGTCCATATTTATCGAGCTCCTAAGGATACTATTGTAAACCTATGTAAAGTTTAGAAACGAAAATATATGTTCTGCTAAATTGACATAAAGACACTGCATTTAATGAATAATAAATTAAATCAGTCTTTATTCTGTTTCAATGTTACTCGATGTTTTGACAGCTATCAATATAAAATATATTTCTGGATGATTAGTTCCCTTTGTTAACATAGGTTTTGTATTTTTAAAATTAGTTTTAAATAGATTTTTGTATAAATTTGTAAGACCGAGAAACTTGACAGTTTAACCCAGTTTTGACCCGTATTGTTGTCTAATCTCTTATATCAAATTATTGGCTATAGTTTAGTCAAAAGCAGCTGCATGCATTTTGTTTTACGCGGTCAAGTCTCTCAATTTAAGAAACATTATTTCATTTCAAAGTCACGAAAACTCTTTGTAAAGTTACGGACAAATATAATGCCTACTCATTTTAAGATCAGCTTCGAGTATGACAGGAAAGAATTATTTCGATGCTTTTAAAATTAAGATTTTTTGGCGTTTGAGGCAGACCTTTCAGACACATTCGAAAGGCAGCCATTTTAGTTTGAGTGAATCAAAATACATTCTAAAAAAAAAAACTCAAGTGTTTCACGATTTAAGTGTACAAATGCATATAGACTTAACGATTTTATTGAACTTAATAGCGTGCAACTCACATAGAAAATTCCATTTTAACTCTTGCTTCGTTTTTTTTGGGGGGGGGGGGGGGGGGACCAGGTTGTCATGTTAGAATGTCGATTAGTAAACCAGTCCATTTGAGCTGTTCATGTATTGGATAAACGATATCATCAGCTGAATGAATCTGTCCTTATATATATAATTATTTTAGCGAGTTTTCAAGAAGTTTGAAATCGAATAAAAGTGATGTTTAAAGATGTCTTTGGATGATTAGAATTCTAAAATTGAAGGTTGAAAGACACTATCATGGATGGCTAAATGAGAAAACCCAACAAGTCCTCAAAACATTACGCCGACTACTAAAGACTAAGCAACAAGACTCCAATGAAAACCAGGTGCTTCAGAAAGGTAACAGTTCCTCGGATCAAGATACACGACACCGATAGATGGACATTTAGTTATTTTTAAGTCGCAAAAAAATTTGAATAGAATTAATTATAAGTTGATTAAAATAAACATAATTTAGTCATTCTTTTATCTTCTTCTTTCGTTATATTAATACTCGGTAATCTTATATTGTTACCAACCGCGTGACAATGCAATTTAAAGTTCAAGCGTTCTTTCTTATTTAAGATTACATAATAGTTTAATTTTGATAACATAAGAGATTGTTGTATAATTCAATACATGTTTACAAATATTTCACATTATCAAGTATAAACAGTAGAGTTTAATCGCTCAATTCTCGCATTTCCTTTTACAAAAGAGGTATAAAATCTTACAAATTTGCCAAGGGTTACTTCTTTGTGAACGCACATGGTCTTTTTCCTTATTTAAAACGGTATTAGATACTTTTAGCTTCAACTGGTATTGGTTATAAGTTAAAAGCAGTAAGGTCAACAGTTTAAACGATACCCATACTAGTTGTATATAGAGTAAAAGTTTGTGTAAATAAATTATTTGAAACAAAGCACTTCAGTCGTTTAAGGGTTATACTAATCTAATGGCGTTTTTCATTCATGATTTTTCACATGAGGAGAGGAATTCAGACATTTTATTGAATTTCTACGGAAAAAATCATATGATCCAGGCGAATGAAGATGTACACAATTTGATTATTATACCAAGGTGACTGTCTTGGACTTGCTTGCTTCAAAGTGCCAAATTGGAGAAAAATACCACCCTCTCTCGAAACTTTTCTTTGAATATTAGCACATGGAGAGTTAACTGAAACCAAATTTGTAATCAATCCTACAAAAAACTTTGCTAGTCTTGTAACTGGGACTTTTACAACAGAGCTTCGAGTATTCAGCATATATCTTAACATACATGTATACTTACTTTCCACGTTTAGCTTTTGATTTTGGACTAGCACTGCTTTTTGATCGTCCACTTTTCGGTCGTCCTTTTCCCGATTTGGGTCGAGAGGTTTCAGGCTGAGGTTCAGGTATAAGATCTTTTTTTGGTTCTTCGGTCGGCACTGCATCTGTAACATTTAGGTCTTCTTCTGACGATGAATCCTCTTCAATTGAATAAAAATGAAGCTTCGCTGAAGGTAGATTTCTTTTGAGAAAACTAGGATCCATAGAAACACTTGAAGAGGTGTTTGAGCAGTTTTCATTGTCATCAAATACACTGTCATTCATTTCTGACTTTACCCAATCTAATTCCTCTGAACACATAGAGCCATTTGGAATAAGCCTAAACTCACTGTTGTTGGATATTGTTGATACAGACCTAGCTGACTGCACTTTTGGTGAAACACACGACACTGTATACTCTCTATTGCTTCTACATAATGTTTGCTTTATCTGAGGTTGTATTGTCTGCGATTTCAAATGGTTAAATCTAGTTGGAATCTCTGACTGTGACCTAAGACGGATAGAATTCATAATATTGCTTCTTTTGTTGTATAAAACACTTCCGTTATGTGTTGGTCCATTATGTCCTGACATAATACGAGATGGAATTTCAGATAGAACATTTCTTTGATCATTGCGATGAGTATAGACGTCCACGGCATTATCAAACATCTTTAAACTGTATTGCCGTAAATTCTCACTGTCAACTTGAGCTTTTTTTACTTTCTCTGCTGTTATTTTTCGAACGATATGTTGTCCGTCTGCATTTTTTCTAGACTCCATGTGGCTGTATTCCATTGGATATTTAGTAAGGTTTCGTTTCTGAAATGGAGAATCACACGGTAGCATTAGTTTTCTTTCTCTCGACTTTCTACCTAATAATCTCGCATTCAATTTCATATTTCGAAATCGCATGTCTGATTTGTATGGTGGGGATGTTCCTATATGAGCAGGAACTGCCCAAACTTCTGTTTCATCTGGCATTTTCAGTCTACTAAAATCTCATGCCCAAGTTCAACTTCTCAAATAACTGTCTATATCAAGTGTTGTTGACTCAGTGATCGCACACTAACGATGACTTAACATACTGAGTATCCTTACAACAATCAAACCAATCGAAAGATAGCAAGAAATAATAAAAGAACATATACAAATTTCCACTTTGCAATTTTACGTTAACATCAATACACCATACATACAAGATAAAGTACTTGTTATATCATAACCATAATCGGAGTTGGGTATTTAAAAACTTATTGGTTCAATAGCGTATTTTACTAAGTAACCAAGGGTAAGAACTAAAGTGTTATTCACCCGTTGTACGACTCTTTTATTTAGTTACATTGTGTTACTTGGGCTAAGTCGATTCATTTAATAATAGATAAAACATATTTGATAGTGTACTGGTACAAGTAACGATTACTTTCGTCACAATATCGGATTTTCATATTAAAGTTAATCAAAAGTATATGAAATATTATATTGACCTGCATTAGTTAAAGAAAAGTGTTTAATCACGGGATTATATTGTGTGCCATAACCTCTCATTTTTATCAATAATGAAATTGACCTAAAACTGTCCCATATTTATGACAAAAAAATGTGTAAAACAAAAGCTTTTTTTCGTTGTTAAAGCTACATTTTTAACCAGTTTTCAATGACTCTTTAGAAGTCGTCAGGAGCCCCATTGACGGGTCAATTTTATTGATATAAAATAAATTATGTGATTATTTTAACATGAATGGTACTTTGAAACTCTAAAGTAAACATGGATTTCTTTATAATGATATATACAGTGCGATATTTACTTCTTGGTTGTAAAATAGCAACAATCAAACTATAAAGATACCGTTCACAAGAGGTAGGCGACATGAGGGAAACACATTTATCTCCTGGCACGTGAATGTCTGAGTGTATTAGTAGCCTAAGGGTGAAAAATACAAAAGGTCTATTTCTTATTTGTTATACCGGTATGATAGAGCTAGGTATTTATTTTATTGTACGTTCCTTTATTTCCTTGATCGCAATTAAAAGGGGGAGGGGGTTGAGATCTAAACAAACGATTTTAACTGAAAAAAGAGTAATTTGCCTTCTCTTTTATGGAAACTCGTCTTTGTCTTTAGTTTCAATCTTAATGTGTATTGATTTTCATTTGAGGAATTTTGTGTTGATAGAAGATCTTCTATGGTCTGTTTTACAACTGTTGTTGGTCTTTTCGTCGTTTTTATTTTTGGCAATAGCATTGTCTTTTTTCGACTTTTGGTTTTTGATTGTCCCCTTTGTATATTCTGCCTCTTTTTGTGTGTAGATTCAAGGCCATAGATTGCCATATTGTAAAACACCTGTCTCTTTTTGTGTGTAGATTCAAGGCTATACATAGCTTGCCATATTGTGAAAACACCTATATATTTTCGGGTGCAGATTCAAGTTCATAAATAGCTTGTCATATTGCGTAAACACCTGTCTATTTTCGTATGTAGATTCAAGGCCATACATAGCTTGCCATATTGTGTAAACACCTGTCTCTTTTTGTGTGTAGATTCAAGGCTATACATAGCTTGCCATATTGTGTAAACACCTGTATATTTTCGTGTGCAGATTCAAGTTCCGTGATAAATAGCTTGTCATATTGCGTAAACACCTGTCTATTTTCGTGTGTAGATGCAAGGCCATACATAGCTTGCCATATTGTGCAAACACCTGTCTATTTTCGTGTGTAGGTTCAAGGCCATACATAGCTTGCCATATTGTGTAAACACCTGTCTCTTTTTGTGTGTAGATTCAAGGCCATAGCTTGCCATATTGTGTAAACACCTGTCTATTTTCGTGTGTAGATTCAAGGGCCATATTAGAGCTTGCCATATTGTGTAAACACCTGTCTCTTTTTGTGTGTAGATTCAAGGCCATACATAGCTTGCCATATTGTGTAAACACCTGTCTCTTTTTGTGTGTAGATTCAAGGCCATAGCTTGCCATATTGTGAAACCACCGGTCTATTTGTGTGTGTAGATGTATAAGCAATAAAAATTAATGATATAGATATATGTAGATCGAATTATCTTGAGAAAATTTAAAACTTCGGAATTGACCTAAATTGTATCTTTTCAAACAGTAAAATTTGTTTTAAATTCGATAGGACATTTTATCATCTATACATGCTATAGTAATTTTAATGTTATCAAATATATGCAGCAGGTATTAACTTTATATCTCCATAAAATATGGATAGGCAATAATTTCCGACGAATGCATTATAGGCGCTTTTATTTGTTATCAATACTTCCTTAAAATACATCTTATTTTTATTTAATCCTGTATGGTGCATTAGCATACCAATAACATGTTATTGAAAGATGATATTTATAGACAACACGATAAAAGGTACGTAGATACAAGTTTGGCAGAATTAAAAAAAAACATATTTCTAGCTTTTAAATGGTATATGGTAATTAATTCTTTTATAAAATCCTTATTAAACGTAAAGATAGAGTTCGACTTTTTACAGGTTTAAATAAAGGAACAAAATTTAATTTTGATTGTTTTAAGGAAAAACAAATTAATGTCAGATAACTGCCAACCGTGAAAATAATCAGGGGCTCTGAAGCCCAAGTTTTACTAACACACACAATATCACGACTTGATTGGATAGTTGCGTCTTTGTCATACAGGAGAAGGTACATTTTGGGAATAAGTTGGCCTTCTAAATCTACCGAAAATGGAAAAAAAGGTATGATACCATAATTATTCATATATTTCAAAACTTCTGAATGAGGGCTTTCAGAAGATTGAAAGGTTAGCTTATAAGCTTATAGGCTTAACGACTGACTGTGACGTCAGTATAGTCATCATATAATAAATATGGGCTATGGTTCATTTTTGCTAAATAATAGAGACCAAGTGTTTTGCCAGCAAATACTAGAATACAAAGATGCACAAAAAATATATTAAAAAAATCGTTCATGCAGGTATAAAGGATTGTGCGATATATATTGTTTGTAGCAAGATTTTGTGCAGTTTCGCGATTCATGCTAAATTTACTGTCTGGTCATTTATATCCTATGAAAAGCAAGTATTACAAACCAATGATGCAATCTTTCATAAATGTTTATAGATTTTTATATTATTCTGTAGATTGGAGAAATGCTGAAATAAAATATTTTATTCCAGGTCTAATCTGACCTAAAATCGTACCAACTATGAAATTTTTGCAACATAAAATCAATCAATTAGTCCGTACACTGGTTTTATTCGATAAAAAAACCCGTAATGTGTAATATATATATATAGCTTATTGTCAAAATCATCCATGAGGCAAAATTGATTTAAGACGATTTTGACCTATCTATTAAGACCATTTTATTTTTTAAGATCCTAACGTTTACTATATTTTGACTCCTTTGAAGTCCATGCATTGGTGTGAAAAACCCTTAAACCTAATATGATCAAACAAGAAAAGTATTGTATTATTCCAATGGGAGCTGTTAGAAAAATTGCAGGACAAATTTCTCAATTCGTAAGAATAGCAAATACAGTTTTGATATAGGAACTTCCCCACCCCCCGACCCGCCCAAAAAAAATCAATTTGAAGAAGCTGGGTGTATTTTTAAGTTACTGTACAGGTTGTATATTTAAAAACCACAAAAGTAATATAAAATCGATAAAAATTAGGATTTTGAAAAGCCTATTCTCAAACCAGAGTTATATCTGAAGACTTTGAGGTGAAAATAGTTTTTGTATTATACGCGTCATTTTATCAAATGAAAGGTACATACAAATAAATTAATTTCACGGAATGTTGATTATTCCCTTTTTAATACTTTTTAACGCAATAAATAAAAACTTATCAAAGGTACTTTTTAAATATCAGTTTCAATTCTCTTTATTTGAATGTGACATGAATAAAAATTAGATTATTAAGTAATCATCAAGTTATTAGTATGTTAACGCTTCATCTTTCATCAAAGGATTTTTTATATGATCGAAACAAAATTGAATACCATACTGCTTCAATGAACAGCAATCAGGAACGTGCAAATATTAAATTAACAACTGATGCAAACAATATTGCTTTATTAAACATTGTTTAGCATGCGAAGACGTGCCTTTTTTTTTACTGAAACTACACATATTCTAGCTATAATTAAGTATACATTCTGGTCGTCCTTTAGGCAGAGATAAATAATTTAGAAGTATTTTACTTACTTTTGTTTTTTCACTGAACAAACTGATAGAGGCGAGCTAAGTGATATAAAACGCCACCACATACTTTATATGAAAGTCCCAATCGGCAACTTTATCTGTGGATGCCGCTATTTGATTTGCAGAAAAGAAAAAAATATAAAGGCCACTTTTTGTACTTAGATATCAGTACTCAATTTAGTAATTTTGTCTTTTTTAACGTTATGCGTTCAAACTTCGGGTAGTTAAGTAAAAACTGACAAAACAACCTTGTTATGAGATCTTCATATACACATTTTTTTATATATACTTCTGATATATTTATCTACATGATGTCATATATTTATAATTATGCTGATGTCAGTGAAACATCCTTTGGCTGAAGCTGTTATGCATATTTAATTTTATTCATCTTTAAACTTGGTGTAAAATGACCATTTAAGGTCAAAAACATGTCAGCTACATGTCAATTTTGACATGTTGATGCTACTCTTTTATGTTTATTTTCAGGTTTAGGACTATTTAATTTATTCACAACCAAACGACGTTTATTAAACTTTTAACATATTAGTTACGTCCATTCCGAATATCAAACAAATGGTTCACGAAATGTTTTAACTTTTTGTAAATGAGTGTGTGGATGAGGGTTCCTTAATTCTGTATTCTGTAAATTTTTAGGCTATTGTTCTCTATTCAATAAACCCTATCCAGACCCTCATAAATCAAGATATAAGGCAATTCGGAATTCATAGTTCCTACTCAGTTTCTTCTTATACAAAATATGAATGTAATGTCTGATATTTATTAATTAAACTTATTCACTTATTAAAAGAATGATATGAACACGGTCAATTACCTCGTTTAAACTTTTATCTACAAAATAGCTGCTTTACTTAATGAAAGAATCAGTTCCCCTTATATAGTCACATTCTACATAAGTCAAACGGAAAAAGTCAGAAAATATTGAAATTTTATTTCTCATAATATTAGATCTCAATTTGCAGAATGATTTATCCCAGTGTACAGTTATAAAGAAGAA